TATCTCCAATCATCTAATAGGTTCAGACTATACATTCAGTCTGTTTCCATTTATCTGATGGGTTCAAACTATACATAGTCTATCTTTATTAATATGATGGGTTCAGTCTGTCCTATTTTATAAGACATAGTCTTAATGTATTAAATCCCTATATATACATGTTTGAGGATCCTTTCTAAGTGTGACACAAATAGAGAAAACATGAGAGCAAAATACTAAGTGTGAGCACGAAAAATTGGGAAGAAGATATGTAGAGAAGAAAAGAGAATTGGTTAGAAAGATCAAGGAGTTTTTGAGAAGCGCAAGAGGTTGTTCTGTTGTAAAAACTTGAACTTGTTTTCAAATAGTGAAATCTGCTTTCTCCCATGGATGTAGGCCAAATTGGCTGAACCACAATGTATTGTGTTCTCTTCTTTTAATCTTTTTTGTTTTGCTATTGCATTTTTTCTTTCATTTAGGTTTTACATTCTTGTTGGGTATCTCGTTTCTACATTTTTTATTTGTTCTTGCATAGGGTCTATTCTTGCTTGCATTCTTTCTTGTTTTAGTACCAACAAAAGCCTACTACTCGTACATGTAGGAATCATAGTGACGTCAAGTTAAATGACTATATTGTTAGGGTTGTCATAAAAAGTACTTATGTCACTTGCATAACTATTATTAAGCATTCTCATAGTGGGTCCATCCAGTATAAATATTATTCCTAATATTTAACCCATATGCTTAACTTGATATATCATATGCATAACCAATGGTATGTGTTCACTAGCTAGTCAACTCACACAATAATGTCAATGTATTATTTTCATCATAGTTAATAATAATACTTGATTATGTACACTTTAAGAATGTTCTTTAGTTCAATAGAATCTCACAATTAAGTCTTAATCCCATTAAGTAAGAGTAAATTACACTCCTCACTTTTGTGAGAAACAAATATTATATTGTCCTCCTCTCTTATATTAAAAATTATAGTATCCTCCCCTAACAATTTCTAATATATATATATATATATATATATATATATATATATATATAATATGAGGAGAGATTTGTCTACTCTAAAAGTAAGTCTATCTAAACATACTTTATTCAATAACTCATGTTTTACATTAAATTTTAACGATCTAACTATTAAATTTAAAGTTCTTAATGTATAGATCAAATTTACAAATTTAAAAAAAAATTGATAACCATTTGATATTTCATTTTATTAATTCAAATTGATGAATAATCATAAAATTATTTTATATATTGATTTGAATCAATGAAATAATATATCAAATAATTTTCAAATTTTTTTTTAAATTTAAAAATTTGATCTAAATTATATATTTTAACATAAAAGAGAAAGACAAATATAATACTTGTATGGAAGGTAGTGTATTACTCACGATTTAATAATTAAAAAAAAAACTAAAGCAATGATAAAAATAAATCTTTAATTAAAAGGTTAATTTAAAGACAAAATCTTACTGTGAGATACCAAAGTTGTCATGATTAAAAAAACAGTATTTTATGATACTAATTCAGTAACCGAGATGTCCATTTGTAGGAAAGAAGTTTCACATGCAATTATGCTTGTAGTAGTTGGAATGCCTTTACTTTGGGATATTAGTAGCTATCATTACTCGTTAATGCCCTCACTGCATTAATTATCACTGTGGTGTCTAATGCAAAAGCAACCTTCTCTTAGTGACTGCTTATTTTACATTTTCAACAATAATTACTGTTTTGTCCAAAGAAAAAATACTACTAGAATTTTTTTTATTACATGCGATTTTTCTTACAAATTTTTCATAAAAAATTTGCAGGAAACATTGTTCTTATAATTTTTTTTGTGGAATTTTATCTGCAGGTAATACCTTCGTAGATAATATATTTTTGCAAATTTTAAAATTTCCAAGAAATTTTCTTACAAAATTTAATTTTTTTCGCAAGAAATTTTGCAGGAATATTTTTTATAAAAAAATTAAATAAATTACTCAACTTTCAAATACTCACAATGAATTCATCCAAAACATTTGTTTTCACGCCTCTAACATGTGATACATAATTTTTTAAATTCTAAGATTGTGGATTACAAGTCTAACACTCAACCATAAAAATTAACTTGTAAGGTAAGTGTTGCCCCAACTTATATACTCTTTAATTGTTTTATTTTCAATCGATGTGGGACTTGAAATTTTTTTTTTAAATATATTAAACTTATAAATTTAAATATTTTTTAATTTTTCCCGCGGATTAAAATTGGTAGGAAAATTTGCAGGAAAAGTTATCTGTAAATTTTTTTTACCATATAGTAAACATTACTTGCTAATTTATTTTTGTAAGAAAATCAGCAAGAAACAAAATAGAATTCTTTTTCTGCAAATTTTTATCATAGAAGAAAATTTCTATGATCATTAAAATTATAACAAAATTTGTAAAAAAAATTTGTAAATTATTTTTCATAAAAAAATTTGTAAGAAATATCTGTAAATTATTTTTCGCAAATAAATTCGTAAATTTTTTTGTGAAATTATTATTACATGAAAATTCGTAAAAAATATCTGCGAATATTTTTTTTCAAGAAAATAATACTTTTCTAGTAGTGAAATTTTCATGTCCAAAGAAAAAACAGTATTGTGGCAGTGCAGCATTAGAATGTTATAAACTAAAGTTCCATTTTGGGGTTTGCTAGTCATTGCTTACATTTTTCTGTGTTGGCTTGTTGCTAAATTGATTTTGTGATGCCGGTTGTATTTTTCTTTCGAATTAAACTTCATAAGTAATTACATTTGTAATTAATTTATCTAAATAAAATAAATTCTTTTTGAATTAACATTTAAAATATTTCAAGCATCATTTTATGAATAAATCAATTCTTTGATTTATTTCAAAACAAATTTTTTTTTTTATTAATATTGCAACCAAAAATTACATATTAATGTTAATGTGAAAGTATAAATGAGAGTCTCAAGTATATTAAGTAACATGTAAGTGAGAAATACTTATAAGTCTAATTTCTAAAAGTTTTAAGTTAAGATGTCATTATATTCATGCGTGCAAAATAAATACAAGTCTTATTATATTACACATTCTAATTGTATTTTCTAAAAATAGTTAAAAATAGATTTAAATATATTTTTAGTCCTTCAAATTTAAGATAAATTTATTTTTAGTCCTTATAATTTTAAAAAAAATTCTTTAATCCTTAAGTCACCAATAATATATTTAAAAGTGACAGATTAAAATAGTTATACAATATCAATTAGGTTTAATGTGATATTTTTATTAATAAAGATATTAGTAAGTAAATTTTATGTGATAGATTTTTTAACAAAGTTTGAGTATAAGAACTAAAACAATTTTTTTTTAAAATTATAAAAAATAAAAATAATAGTTTTACATTTGAAGGATCAACAATAAATTTAGTTTAAATTTTGAAGGATTAAAAACATATTTAAAGTGTAAAAATATCTATTTTCTTTACAAATTCCTTCCTTTAAAGTTGAGTTTAAAATTTTATTTAATTTCTCTTTTTATAATAGATATTTTATACAGAGTTGGGTAAAATTTATATAATTTAGTAAAAACCAAATTGTAGAATTAACTTATTTTGTGTAGTCTACTCATGGTTCATTTGTGATTTTTTATTTATTTATAAAAATAGATTAAGATTTATAAAAGATTTTGAGTTTTAGTACCGAGTTTTATTTGTTGATTTGATCGTGACGTCCTCTTCAATGGTTAACTCTTCTCACATTCCCAATAAATAAAATAAAATAAAAATTAAAGGTAAGCAGAAGCGTGGTATCGGAAATATCATTTCTTTTACTTTCACAAAATTGAAAATTTCTATCATGTTAATTTAAAATACAACGCTACAAAAAAATAATAATAATAATAATTAAAAAAATTATTTTAAATTATAAAGAGTAATGATGATTGAAAAGATAAATATAAAGGTTAAAAAAATCTATTTTAAACTGTAGAAACTAAAAGATAAAAGATAAAGTAAGTAAAATATATCAATTTAAAAAAGTGTTTTAACAAAAAATTAATAACATCATTAGTATTTAAAATTATTAATTCTGAAAGAGACCTTTTTCCGTGAGTTGATGACCCTTTTTCCCTCGCTTATTTTAAGTACAACGATACCATCATCGCATTTACCGTGAAAGTAGACTTTATTATTTTCTTTGATTGACGAACATCTTGAATGTATGGACCTATAATTAAATTTTTACCCGATTCAGCCACTTGAGTGAACGATATATGGCTAACATTATTCCTAAAAATAAAGGCAACACTAAATTTGTGCTTGTTAGTTGGGAAAGGTATATGACCGATTATGAATGCCACAATATAATTGCACCCCACAAAATGGACTTAAAAAACCAAGTAACTTGGATTTCAGCGTGGTCTAGTGTTATGAATATTTGTTCACATTACAAGCAAGCAAACAAAGTGGACTCACAATAATGTCGCTAATGCTGTTTTTCCCAATGGATTAGAATTGTTGTAATTAACCATCATATATATAGAAAATGACACGTTTGAGGTGGCTAGCTATTTAACGAGACATGTGGAAAGATCCTAATTTCTTTTTTCTTTTCCTTAGATGATGACGCAAAAGCTTTGTTGGCGGAATTATAGAAGAACAAAAAGGGATAAGAAGCAATCAAATTGGGAGAAAGGGTCTTGGGCGGAGAAAGAGAGGGAGAGTGAGCAAAAACAAAAGAGAAGAAAAGAATATTGAATATTAGAATAATAATGATAGTAGTGACTTTTGTTTGTTTTGGCCGAAAAGGAATATAGCACGAACGGTGCTTCTCTCTTGATCAAGTAAAGTGGATTTATATCTTCCTTGAGTTGAAAGGCAAAGGATTAGTTTATTTGTTTGTAAATATATATATATATATATGGTGAAGATCGAGCAAACACTATGCTATACTGTGATTTTAGAAATGGTGAGGTAGCTATAGGTGTAGTGTGTGTGCATGGTCCTTCACTAAATGGAAACCAATTTGGGGTTGGTGGCAGGCTCTCACATCAGCAACGAGTTCATTATCATACGTCAAGATGGAAATTTTCCTGTAAGTAATTAACAAGTATCATCTCTTGGCCAAAGTGAAATTCTTACTAGAGGAGTCACCTTATGGCTTGGGGTAACCATCAAGTTTGTAGTTATCTAATATGGTTCAACTTTGTAGTTATCTAATATGGTTTGCTGCTTGTAAATATAAAGGAGAGATGTAATTATTTTGAGAATAACTTTTAAAGAATTATTTTCCATCTTCACCTATTTTCTTGCAATCTTACAGATAAAAATATATAGGCTACTTGAATAACTCATTTAAAGTTATTTTTGGAATAACTTGATCTTTTGTGTATATATATATTGACTTATCTGATGATGAAACTCATTCCCTTTAGAAGGTAAAATAATAGTTAATATATTAATATATAGTAGATTAAAAAATCAACAATTAATATTGTGTGTACACACATATATATAACAAGTTTAAATGTGATCGAATCAACCGCCAATTTTCATATTGACAATTGAGAATACTTATTTTATTTTTATTTATTTTAGAAAATAATCAAATATTTCAAAAAGAAAACAGTTATTTTATTTTGGTTCTATCACTTCAATTTATTGGGTCTAAGATTGATCTCTTTGGCAATAGATTACAATGAATTTGAAATGGTGACAGATTAACTTTTTTGAGTATTGCGAGTGTGTATTTTTTTTAAAAATAAAAAATAAAAATATTCATCTTGTAATTTGGGTAGCACCCTTGATTTTGAATGAATTATATGAGCAAATGCATGGTTAAGATGTAGTAAGATGATTTGGTGTGGTGCAGCAAAGGGAGGTGCAATTGCAACAGTTACATGGTAAAACATGCCAACTGTGTGGAGATGATATAGGGGTTAATGCAGATGGTGAGCCCTTTGTGGCCTGCAACGAGTGTGCTTTTCCTGTTTGTAAAAACTGCTATGAGTATGAACGTAGGGATGGAAACCAGGTCTGTCCTCAATGCAAAACCAGATTCAAGCGTCTCAAAGGTATTTATGCAAATTATTTAATACAACTATGTGTGTTACCTTAATATTTACTATATGTATGAAAATGTAAATAAGGTAACTACTCCTTTTGTTTCTCTGATGATGTGGCTTTAGTACTGTTGCAGGGTGTGCTAGAGTTGAGGGGGATGAAGAGGAGGATGACATTGATGACTCGGAGAATGAGTTCGATTTTGATGGACGAAATAAACCAGATTCCAAAATGTCCATTTCTTCTGAGGTAATGACTAATTCTAATTAATGGTAGTCTTGTTCTAACATTCCCATAGCCATTTAAATAAGTCGCCTGTGTAATCTAACAAAATAGCAAATTATGCTGAACTATTCATGTTTCTTTTTGGGAAACTCTTCATACAAAGTACAAACTAATAATTGCTAATTTTTTTATATTAACTATATATTAACAATATCTTTTGAGTTAATGTGAAGATATTTATTAATAAGCTATAATTATAATTTATTTTAAAAAAAGTAAGTTAATAAGTTATAATTATAATTTATTTAAAAAAGAAAAATATAAGTTAACAAATACTTGTAAGGTTTGTTAATGTACATCCACTTCTTTTTTAGAAGGAGTATATTAGCAAATTATAATTACAATAATCTGTTAACTCACTCCTTTTAAAAAAAATAAGTGAGTATAAGTTAGCAAAAAAAAATATATATATATATATATAAATTAATCATTAAATTAAAAATTAATTAATAAATAAGCTTATAAATTTTTATAAAATTTAAAAAACTATTTAATACTCCTTTATATGTAATCAAATTAACTATTAAATAGGTAGCATCACTCGCAATCTCACATAACTATTTACTACAAATATGTTATGATTCTTTTTATTTTAATTATATTTTATAATATATTAAGACAAAACAAATTAATTTTTAATACAACCATTCTCCTACATGGCTAACTAATTAATTACATTTAGTATTATTCACATATATTTATCAATATTTTTTATTTAATTAACATGATGTAATCAACATTACATAATTCTAAAAATTAGATAATCAAAATTATAATAAGAATTTTATGGGCAACTAAAACCTTACATTTGTGAAAAATATATAGTAACAAAAGTGAATTTAAACCTATATAATACGTTTTATTGTTAGTGTACGTAGTATTTATATCAATAGTTTAATTTTGGTTGATAAAAATAATACTCACAAGGCAAACCAAAGAATTTACAACTTTTGTTTTAGTAAATAACATATTTTTGCAGTAGTAATTTGTGAGTACAAGTTGAAATCTTTGTTAGAACAAAAAAATAAAATCCGGCATTATTCTATTAATTCTAGTTTCTTACTCAATCTTTTGCATGCATGCAACGTGCTTATAGGAACAAGATGAAGAAACTTCTCAAGAACATCATGCTTTGGTTCCTTCAAGTTCAACCATATTGAGCAAAGAAATAATTTCCTTGCAAGCAAGACCCATGGATCCTTCCAAGGACCTGGCTGCTTATGGCTATGGGAGTATTGCATGGAAGGAAAGAATGGAAATATGGAAGCAAAGACAAATGAAACTTAGTAACATGAAAAAGGAAAATGACAGTGAAGATTCAAACAACGTCGTTGTAGGTGATGATGACACTGAATTCCCTGTGTAAGTGCTTTTCTATAACTTTTTCAACACTAAAATATAGTTATATAAGTGTTTACAAGCTTAAAAATGTTTTTAGGAGCATCTTTATTAGAAAGTATTAAAAACACTTATACTTGTATCCAAACAAGTTCTATATCAATATGATTAACATGGTCAATAGATAATTAGGCTTCTTAAATATGTTAATCATAATTTAATTTCCAACATGTTAAAGGAATATACTTTATGCACACACATACACGAAATGATATGGACATATATTTTGTATACATGTGTAAGGATTGTTTTCTGATCAGAAAGTATGTTTTCTTATGTTAATCAGAATGGATGAAGGAAGACAACCATTGTCAAGAAAGTTGCATGTTCCATCTAGTAAAATAAACCCTTATCGAATGATCATAGTAATCAGACTAGTTGTTCTTGGGTTCTTCTTCCATTACCGAGTTATGCACCCCGTAGACAATGCCTATGCTTTGTGGCTTGTGTCAATAACTTGTGAGATTTGGTTCACTCTTGCATGGATTCTAGACCAGTTCCCAAAGTGGCTTCCTGTCATGCGGGAAACTTATCTAGACAGGCTTTCCTTGAGGCAAGTAATCTAAAAATAGTTTACCCACATATAGTGTTGTTTTTCTTTTGCTTTTGCTACCTATAAAATTCGTATATTGAAGGTTGTCAATTGCTTTGCTCTCACTAGTATAAACTTTGTCTTGTAGAAATTGATCAAATGGCATAGACATTGTGACTCTATGCTAACAATATGATGTACTAATAGAAGTTCTCTGAGGGTTTGATTTGATAAATTTTTCCTAAACACATCTAAGAGAAAAAAGTAAGAAGGAAAATGAAATAAGTTTCTTTATAAGTTAAAATTAATTTATGTATAAACTAATTTATAGAAATTCTTTCATATTAACTTCTTCAAATACTTACTTTTAACTTTTGTATAAGATAATTTTAGTATATGAAAAAATTTATTTCATTTTTTCATTTTTTTTTTTGCCTCTTAAAAATGTTTCTAAAGAAGTTTATTCAAACAGACATGAGAGCATCATATTGTTAGTATACATTTATAATATTTGTAGTTTTATGCTAGCAATTCAATAGACAAAAGTCTATGCCAATATAAGACACTTTTTTATGTTTCTTTGCAAATTTATTAACAATTGTTCAATTTACCTATTCATAGGTATGAAAAGGAAGGGCAACCTTCACAACTTTCTCCCATTGATATATTTGTGATCACAATGGATCCACTAAAAGAGCCTCCTCTTGTAACTGCAAACACAGTTCTTTCTATTCTAGCCATAGACTACCCTGCTGAAAAAGTGTCATGTTATGTATCTGATGATGGGGCAGCAATGCTAACATTTGAGGCTTTATCTGAAACTTCTGAATTTGCAAAGAAATGGGTTCCGTTTTGTAAGAAGTTTAGCATTGAGCCAAGGGCTCCTGAATGGTACTTTGCTGAGAAGATAAACTACCTAAATGATAAGGTGCACCCATCATTTGTGAAAGAGAGAAGAGCAATGAAGGTAAAAAAAAAAAATGTCTACATGTGTTGGATACTTTACCCTGTGAATCTTCATGTGATAGGGTAAAATTTTATTTTCATTATACTACAGAGAGAATATGAAGAGTTTAGAGTTCGAATCAATTCTCTAGTTGCTAAGTCTAGGAAGGTACCAGAAGAAGGGTGGACAATGCAAGATGGAACACCATGGCCTGGAAATAATGTTCGTGATCATCCAGGAATGATACAGGTTAGTAATAAGAGTAAATTGTATATGCACCTGTCTTTATACTGTTATCTAATTGCAAATTGTCATATTAAGTTTGTTGAATATTTCAATGATTACTTTAAAAGTCATAAAAAGCATGATTTTTGATTGGTTGAAAGTATAAATTTTTTTGGTAGTGCATATATAGAACTTTCATAAGATAAAGAACATATCTTATGCATTTATGACCATTTTTGCTTAATTAACTTTGTGATTGTCAATGTCAATCCTTTCTCAGGTTTTTCTTGGAGAAACTGGGGGACATGACATGGATGGCAATGAATTGCCCCGCTTGGTATATGTTTCTAGAGAAAAGAGGCCAAAATTCAATCACCAAAAAAAACCAGGAGCCTTGAATTCTTTGGTAAACAACACATGGCAATAAGCTTGAGGAAGCTCTACAATTTTATGTAATTATGCTGTTGGCATCAGTGCAAACTTTCTTATATATTTCTTTGTTGATTCCATCAAACAGATTAGAGTGTCCGCTGTGCTTTCCAATGCGCCTTTTGTGTTGAACTTGGACTATGATCATTATATCAATAATAGCAAGGTTGTGAGAGAAGCAATGTGTTTCATGATGGACCCATTATTACGAAAAAGGGTCTCCTATGTTCAGTTTTCACATAGATTTGATGGTATTGATAGAGATGAGCAATATGCCAATCAAACAAATGGATTCCTTGATGTATGAATACACTAAAAAAAAACTAAATTATGTCTTTGAATTTCCCTTCAAAATGGAATTGTAATAAGCTAACTCTCTTGTCTTTTAGATTAACATGAGAGGCTTGGATGGTATACAAGGACCTACATATGTTGGGACAGGATGTGTCTTTAGAAGACAAGCACTATATGGTTTTGATTCTCCTAGAAAAAAGAAGCCTCCAACCAAGACATGCAATTGTTGGCCAAATTGGTGCTGTTGCGGATGGTGTTGCATGCGAAAGAGGAAGAAGAAGAAGTTGAAGAAACCTAAGTTTGAGATAATGGACAGCAGTCATAGAAAAGTACATTCTGAAGCATCTTTAGTTGAAGGTGCTTTGCAATATATTGAACTTAGTTCCAAAGGTAAACTTTGCACATCTAGTATCTTGCTGCATATTATATTTAATTCTCTTGAGAATTTTCATATTTATCGTCATAATAATGGTTATGCCAAGATGCAAATCAGATTAGAAACAGTTTTTCTTTTCAATTGTTCCTTGGAAGAAAATATAAGGTTCTATGAAGTAGGAACCAAATGATTTTATAATGATATCATTGTCTGATCTTAACAAGATTGTAAAACCTTGAATACAGGCACAGAAGATGAATTTTCAGCTCACATTTCAAATCAGAAGTTTGTCAAGAAATTTGGACAATCCCCTATTTTCATTGCATCAACTCAATTGGTGGATGGTGAGACACTAAAACATGGCAACCTTGCTTCTCAACTTACAGAAGCAATACATGTCATTAGTTGTGGTTATGAAGAGAAAACAGAATGGGGAAAAGAGGTAATGAAACCTTTCCATTACTATGTTCTTCTAAGTATGTTTGTTCAAGTTGTAACTTGTAATCATGAACTAGAATTCTTTTAATTGCTCAGGTTGGGTGGATCTATGGTTCAGTTACAGAAGATATATTGACAGGTTTTAAAATGCATTGCCATGGTTGGAGATCTATATATTGTATTCCTAAAAGAACTGGATTTAAAGTATCTACCCCAAGACACCTTTCTAATGGTTTACAACAAGTGTTTCAATGGGCCCTTGGATCCACTGAAATATTCATGAGTAAACATTGCCCTCTTTGGTATGGATATGGAGGAGGACTAAAGTGGTTACAACGTATTTCTTACATAAATGCCATAGTATATCCATTGACATCAATACCTTTGGTGGTATATTGTACCCTACCTGCTGTTTGCTTGCTCACTGGGAAATTTATCATCCCTGAGGTATGAAGTTTAACTTCTTTTTAATCCAAAAGAGATTTCAGTTTTCTAATTTGGATTTGTTTGAGCAAACTTCTCTAAAAGCACTTTTAAGAGAGAAAAATAGGAAAGAAAACCAATATAAGCTTCTCTAAAATCTAAAACTAGTTTATGCATGAATGAAAAATAAGATCTTAAAGAAGTTAATAAGAGAGTTTTTACAAAATACTTTACACAAACTAACTTTAGTTTATGGAAAAACTCATTTTATTTTTCTTTTTTATTTTGCTCTCCTAGAAGTGCTTCTGAATAAATTTACCCAAATAAACCCTTTCTTTTATGATTACAACTTTAATCTTAGTTTAATCTTAGGAATCCATAAACTAACTTTAATTTGTGAAAAAACTTATTTTATTTTTCCTTTTTATTTTGTTCTCTTAGAAGTACTTCTATATAAATTTACCCAAACAAACCCTTTTTATTATGATTGCAACTTTAATCTTAGTTAAAGTCATCCGTAAGTAACTTGGAGCGATGCATTAAAATCACCTATCACATTTTTAGTCCTTACATTTATTAAAAGTGATTTAGTTTTTATCCTTTGTCAATGATAAAAGAAACTTGTTTCTTTTAAAATATAGGAAATAAAAACATTTTAAACTCATAAGAACAAGAACCAACATTCTCAAATTTTGGGAGATCAAAAATATATTTTATCCTACTTTTTAATTGAGAGGACAAAGAGGGACAAGAAATAGGGAAAGGTGATTTGGTTTCTATGTTCTGTTGACATAATAATTGCAAAAAGAGAAAATGTCTATGCTTATTATCAATATTCTTGTTGACAATGCAGCTCAGTAATACAGCTGGCATGTGGTTTATAGCTGTTTTCTTTTGCATTTTCACCACAAGTGTGTTAGAGATGAGATGGAGTGGTGTTACAGTTGATGAATGGTGGAGAAATGAGCAATTTTGGGTGATTGGAGGGGTTTCAGCCCATTTTCTAGCACTGTTTCTAGGGATATTTAAGGTGTTAGCAGGTGTAAATACAAACTTCATTGTGACATCAAAAGTAGATGATGACAAGGAGCATTCTGACATGTTTGGTTTGAAGTGGACCACTTTACTAATCATACCAACAACATTGCTGATACTAAACATAATTGCTGTAGTTGCTGGAGTCTCATATGCAATAAACAATGGGTTTGTGTCATGGGGGCCCCTATTTGGTAAACTCTTGTTTTCTTTGTGGGTGATTCTTCATTTGTATCCATTTCTCAAAGGTATGATGGGTAGGCATAATAGAACTCCTACCATTGTTCTTGTATGGGCAATCTTGCTTGCCTCTTTCTTTTCTGTCTTGTGGGTGAAAATTGATCCATTTTTACCCAAGTCAGATGGCCCAATTCTAGAGGAATGTGGATTGGATTGCAATTAGCTACAAATTTGACCAGCTAAAATGCTACCATGCATGGATGATAATTGTTTGTTTTAGTGCAAGCTAGAAATTGTTTGGTTGTGGAGTTGTGAGGAAGATTGTTTGGCTTGATGCCACTTTTAACTTGTTATAATTGTATGTTTTATTCAATTTTTGATTCTAGCTTAAGGGTTGAAACATTAGTTGAAAGAATTTTTGGGACACAAGACAAGTGCTCGCTTGATTCTTAGAAGACATAGCATGATTGTAATCTTGTATTACAATTTAATTTATAAAACATTGTAATTTTATAACACAGGCCTTGAGCATATGTTGTCAAGCCAACATGCTGTCGACTCCCCTACACCCTGATAAGGTGGCAAAATTAGTTCAACATTGTAAATATATGCTAAAACCTTTGCATTGTTTCACTCATTCAGAAAAAAAAAAATTTAAAATAGAACAATGTTTATCATTTAAAAAAGCTTAAAGAATTCAACGATTTACACTTGGGTGAATTTGAGGCCACAAACTATGATTTTAAGAGCTTAAAGAATTCAACTATTTACCAACCAATGAGAATCTGATGCCACAAACTATGATTTATAAGAATGTGTTTATAAAAATTGTGAAATATAAATTATTTTAATAATCAATTATTTTTATAATTAATTATAATTCAAAAGAAAATTTTATTTAAATTTATTGAAAAATAATTTTAAGATATTTAATTCCATTTAAATAAATAAAAATCAATTCTTATAAAATAAATTAGCCTAAAAGAATGGAAAAATAACTTTTAAAAGAATTAAACATAAACTTCAAATTTTAAGTTTCATAAAAATAACTTACTTAAAAAAAGTTATTTACAAATTTAAAAATTTTCCTAAATATCCAACTTATTTTACAAACAGCTTTTTCTCTTAAAAAGTGGCTAAAAGTGAGAAATAATATTTCCGAATCATGCTCTTTAACATACAAGTGACATTCAGGAATGAGTGGCAGTGTAAAGCATTATAATTAAATTCCTCTTAAAAACTGAAAATTTTGGAACAAAAAGAACAAGTTATTTCTTCAAAAGGTAACCCAAAAACATCTTCCAATCACAGCGTGAGCGTGATCCAGAACCTACTTCAAAGTTGTGTATAGTTCAGAGAAGCACACATTGGAAAGAGATGTTGCATAGCCAAGATTTTGTGTTAATTGAAGATAATTTGATATACCCCTCGCTCTCTCTGCCAACCCCACAAAAATGGAGTGGGGAGTGGAAAGACAATTACAAGATATTTTTGAGGTAGCAGCAGATTCAAAATTACAATTGAAAAGGAACTATGACAAGAGGAAGTTGAGCAACTAGGGAACATGCACCATAATATTTATTTTACTAGATTCAAGGAGAAGAAGAGAAAGAGGAAGAAAATGCCTATATTTTCCGCTATCTTTCTTGAGTACAACAGATTCAATGTGCTGACTCTATATACATAAAATGAAGCCTATGCCTTTCCAAGGACAATTGTAGTAGCTCTACGTCTTTCATTCTTCATATTCCTTGAAGAGTAAAATAATACCGTCACATTTGAAGAAGATTATTCACAGTAATCGCGACTGAATTTGTCCTTTGCAAGTCCTGCAGTATCAACCATATCAATTTTTTTCTTCATATTTTTTGTCAATTTTTTTCACAATTTTTTTTTAATTTTACGTTGAAATTTTTTAATTATTATTTTCAATTGTATTTTGAAATTTTTATGATTTTTATGTGGATTTAATTTACATAATTCAAAAGAGAAACAACATAAGGAAAATAAATGGTAATTGTGTAATTTAATTTATAATATCAATTTAATTTTTTATTTAATCTAACATATCAATTAAAAAATTTATCTTCCTCCCACTTCTCTTCTACTTCCCTCTTACCTAATAACCTCAATTTACACTTAATTTCCTACTTCCATTATCTTCTCTTTCTTTCTTCTCCTTCTATTTCTTTTCACTTTACAAAACACACTGTTAAGAAGTTGAAAATGAACTCATGATGACATGTATGATCGTAAAAGTAATCATCACATGTCCATCTCAGGCTATTATTTCATTGACAGTATTAGGGGATAATTCATTCACCAGTAAGTTTAAGGGTGTACCACCTAGACAAATTCTTTAGTTTCCTGCTATAGCCACAATTAAGCAAATCCATGGCTTTGTGGCAGTCCAGGTATCCTCCTATTACGAGGGTCTATGCGAAGATAAATAAAGAAAAGGCAAGACAAACTACAAACTTACATTATAAACTGCATTTATTGGCATACCCAATATGAAATGCTCAAAAAAAATTACTAACAAAAGGATATTATTTTGAAGATTATGGCATATTATATATTGCAAATAATCCAAAACACACCTGGAATATCATATCATCTGGAACATGAGGTAGAACCTCCCGAACTGTTTCAGCCATGGCAAGTATATTTGCAACATTATCATTAGCAGAAGAAGCAGTCCTTAAATGTAAACTACCGGTTCCTACTGGCGATCTTACCCCCCCAGGAGGAATGGTTGAACCACTTGCAGAAGCCTGAGAAGGATTAATGGGCCAAAGATTCCAAGAAGAATCTTCAAAGGCAGTCTGAGCATAGGTTTCGCCAACAGATGCCAGATGCCTCATCATCATTTGAACTCTTCCCAATCCAACTGTTCTGGCAGCAGTAGATGGACCAGCCCCATCAACACCTTGGTTTGGCCAAGAATGCAACCAACCTGAGTCCAGCCCTGCACCCCTAGATAAGAAAAGGTAAATATCAGTAATGAAGAACACGTCACAAATGCAAGATAACAAATCTATACTCTGACTGCAGCAGGTAACTCAAAAGTTTGTCAATAAAAAGTAAAAGGGGTAACAACCATTCTAGAGTCAGCTCTCTAGATAATGTATTTTAGAGTCAGTATCCTTCAGTTATTTTAATTCTTGAATGCGTGTCCTTTTACAGATCCAATAGATGAATACAGTAGACCTATATTTCTTCATACAAAAATTGAGGTTCCTAAACTTAAAAGAAATAGCATCATTTGGAACCAACATAAGATTTTTAATTCTGATTCTGATGCTTGTCTTTCTTACAGCATTTGATTTAAAACCCAACTGCTAATAAATTTCTCTTCCAAGTCGTTTTCAAAAGATAAAGACAGTGATCAAAAAATTTGTTCCCTTCCTTCTCTACTTTTACAAATATCTTGCAAGAGTAAGACTAGTAGGCCAAAACAGCTACATCCCCTGACATCCATATCATGTGTTTCCAAAGTTCAGAGCCACATAGTCAATTTTTCCACGTTGAGGTGGACAGGCAACTTCAGAATTGTCACCTTGGAAATTTTTTTCTTGCCCTGGGTTTCACCAGCTCTACGATCACTTTCAATGCATGTTTTGCAGAGGTTCTGGTAGAACAAAGGAATACAAGGCCATGCTGCACTGTCTTTCTTTTTCAGGGTTGTGGTGTTTATGGTTGAAGCAAACAGGTCATAGATCTCCAGCAGAGAATCCAATCATGCCTCTTTTATTGAAAGAGATGTTTAGAGGCTTCCCCTATGATTTCCAGGTGCTTCTTTATTGGGTAGTTCAATTGAGTCGATTTCTTTCCATTTATATTTTGTGGTTGATTGTTTGGTGGCTGTGCTAGGCAGATTTTCTATCGTCTATAGTTGTGCTTAATAACTGTTTGAAACTACTATCTTACAAATAAATTACAGCTTAATGCAAAAAAGAGACATAAGGCCATTTAGCATCAAGTATGAAGATTGAACCTCCAATGAACACCTTCAGGAGTGTTTAGTGTCTGATTTGGATACAATCCCGTAGGCAGGGTATGTCTAGCAGAGTTTGACCGATCAAGTCCTGCACTTATTTGGCGAGCAAGTTGCTCATCACTAGATATTGTCCCCGCATTAGAGTTTGTTTCATTTTCAGGCACACCTACAAAAAGTGGCTTGCGACATGTTGGACAAGTATACATTTCAGTCAGGCCTTGATCCAACCTGGAATCAATAAAGCAACCAATAGTATCTTACTAAAATCAACCCAAACAGGAAAAAATAGAAGTCCAAAAAATCAACCATACCAAGATCTCAAACATGCAAGATGGAAGAGATGATTGCAGCTTAGCTTTTTAGCCTTAGCCATAGGTTCCTGTCATAAACATATTCATAATATTGTTCATAAGTATATCCAACCAATACCAAGATCAATCAGAAAGACAGGGCATAAAATTAGCATACTCTACAAATAGCACATTCATCATCATATGCTCTTAGCTCCTCAGTTGTTGCATCAGGAAGAGCTGCATGAAGTGTTCCTAGAGCTATCCTTAGCTTGACAAAGCCTTTTACGCGATTTATTATTGCACTAAGCAATGCCTGCACAAAACAACGTGAATGAATATAGTATAATAAGCAATGCCAGGTATATTTCTGTGGATGGTAAAATTTACAAAGAACCAGATATGAAATAATTACACGTATATTTAGAAATAGCACTGCATCTACAAGATGGAATGCCATGCCATGAAGCCGCCATATATACAAGTAATGACCAAGTGCCATAAAAAATGTTGCCATGTCTAGGAAAAACCCCAAGTTCCGAATAAGAATTCCCTTCCACTCCAACAATGAACCTGCAGTTACACCACTTAATCAGGAAGCAAGAATTATGTTCAAACAAACAAACAGAGCAAAGCCTTATGTAACCAAGTTTTATACTTTCATGCAGGTAAACAAATGAAAATTAGTGATCTTTTATTTAAAACAAAAGAAAGGACTTAAAATTCAAAAGATATCAATTTATTAGAATTGTGAACCACCAAAGTAAAGAGAACATTCATGGGAAAAAACAGAAAAAGTAGACACACAATTTAAATTATGTGTAGAACAGAAAGATGCATATTCTCAATACATGAACCGTATTGATGAGTAATTACACACTTAAAAAAACAAATTTTTATCCAAACTACCTGCGGTTATCGTGTTAAGTAGCTTAGGTGTTCGGAAATCACTGCTATTGCAAGCTGAATGATGCAGCCATATGTCAAGCAACTGAAATCCATGTACCAGAATGGCCTACAATTCATATCGCACACAAAACAACATTAAACCAGGCATCACTACCTCATCAGAAGCTAACCAGATGATAAAACTGTATCACAAATCTGCATGGATGCATTCTAGATACCTGTAGGGTCTCAAAAGCAATACTGGAAGGCTCAAAGAATAGTAATAGATACATAGAGGACCCATGTGTTCTATATATTGTCAGACAAAGCCTTATCCTAGGAGCATAAAAAAGCAAGTGTCAGAAGCAATAAAATTACAATAATAACCGAGATTTTTCAGCCTCAATGAAAATTAAATTTAAACAGATTCATTGTGGAATAATTACATTATAATTCAAATGGGAAAATCTTAAATTCTACACCCTTAGCTCCCCAGAAGTACATTTTAGAGACTAGAACTATTGATTGTCATGAGGTACAGACAATAAGCAATGATGAAAATTTTGAACAGTCAGAAAGAGCAGCATTCGCAACTTTAAAAAAAAAATTCAGAAAGATGTCAAAGGAACAGAGCCTCAATGGAAGCTAGTTTATCATATGATGTTCAGTAGCATCTTTTGAGAAAAGGGCATATTTAATCACTAGGAGTGGCTTACTAATCCAGATAGCAGCAGAGTGGTCACCTCCAAAACTGCTAGTGGGATGGCCACTATACTCAAAACAGGAAGATAAGTAATTATAATTTATCCAAAACTGAAGTTATGTTCATAATTAATTATCAAAAGTCTACACATTCACTATTAATTTAATCTATAAACTAAGAAATGAAGTTGGAAAAAAGAAAATAATAGGATTTACAGCAGAAAAATTAGTGAAATTTTAGGAACTATATAGTGTGAAGAATATACTAAACAACACAAAAAAACAAACATGTCTCGCATGTGCCAAAGTTAAAAAGCAGCAGTAAAGAGAGGCCCTGTCATCACTCCTGTTTTTCAAACCGCAAGACTGATGGCGGAGGTGTAAAGGGGCAATAAAGTCAATTCCCAAAAACAACAGATAATAGCAAGGTCTTTTCAAACAATAGGTTGTATGAGTGTTTTAGGTTAAAAAGGAAACGAGCTAAGAAAATAGAAATAGAAATATAAAAATAAAAGCTGGCTGTGCTTGCACTGGTATTAGAAAATAGATCAACCAACAAAACAAAAAAATAAAAAGACACAAAAAGAATAAAAAAGAAAGAAGGCAGATAGTTACCATAGAAGATAAGAACTAAGAAAACAACAGTAGAAGAGGACACAGAAAAAAAAAAAAAAAGGCAGAAAGATGGAAAAGAAGCAGTTGCGCAGAACAGGGGAAGCTACAAAGGAGTGATCATAGCCTGAAAAGGGATGGTCAAGCAAAACTGGGGTAAGCTTGGCCGGAATGTGTGTGGGCTATCAGGGTTTGGCCAGAAAATGGAACAGGAAATAGTGGCACTACCATCCACAATTTGGCTGAAGTTTCAGCCGATATTTGTGCATAGCAAAAATGCAACGCTATGAGTTTCCTTGTGGTGGCTAGCAGCACTTTTTGCTGATAATGATAACTATGAGTGGCTCAGTTAGCAAACTGAGCTCCATATGGGCAGACTTTACCTATGTTGCAGAAATATGAATCCCATTGGAAGCAGTGTCCAGGGAAAAACTATGCCCTAGTAAGGAATAGCAATGGTAATAATATCTCCAGTATTGAAATAATGACAATAGCAATGGTAATAATATGAACAAGAATATTACTATAGAAAAACAGAGCAAATAGTACCAGAGAACATCAACCATGAAAACAAACAACAATGCTGAATATACACGAAGACAAGTCCAGGGTGTGGCAGATGGAGATGCATTCAGCCTTTCCAAGCGATCTCTAGCCAAAGCTTGAAACATCTATACAATATGTTCAGCATGTTAGAACAAGTTGTTGAACATTGGTTTCATTTTTTATAATCAAATTTCAACAGAATTATTTCTAATTGTTGTCTTTTAGTATAATATATACCTTCAAAGAACAAAGCACAGTCAACCAAGTTGACCAAAGACCTGCTTGATAAATTGTTGGTGGCACAATTAGTGGTAGAAATGTCCCCTGAACATCCAACATTTCATATAAATAACAATTAAGTAGTGTTAATTTAAGACTAACAAACATCAAATAGTTCCTAAATTACATATTAACTTCAAAGTTGACATTATATATATTACTAGGATTCTGACAAATGTTTTCCTTTAAGTAAAATTTAAAACAAACTACATTGAATATTTCTTAATGTCAATAAAACTCCCTATTAAGCAATAATAATGATGATAATGTTAATAATAATTTCAACAGAAGAAAAGAATGGGAGATGTGGGAAAAGAGATGCTTAATCAATGCAGTAGCTCCCATCCATATATCAGACACATAGATTCTAATAAAATAGTTTTGAAGAAACAATTATTTTAGTTTGCTTCATTGTTAATAAATAATCAGAATGAAGTCGCACAGTGACACATGTCATAAACCAGTGAAACAGAAAAGCACTGACCTTGTAAATGACATAATTAATAAGACGTTCAATAAGTTTTCGAGTTTCAGAAGCATATAACTCTGTGAAAAACACAGCCTGCAAGTGTTAAGAGGAACCACAAACAATAAGAAGTATATTAACTGATAAAAAAATTAACAGGAACTATACATCTTGGACAAAATCTGCAGACACCCTAGCCAACAAGTTTACTTAGAAAGTAAAGAAGAAAGTAAAAGCAGCGTAAATTGAACAAATTGTAAATCATTGCTGTTACCCCTTTCTAATAAAATATTACGTTTGCAAATCCCAGGCAGTAAAAAAATTGATGATAATTGACAATCACAATTTTCAGGAACTATATTACATTATCTTATTCTTGTATCAACCCACCAGCCTGAAATGGGGAAAACACCAGCAAATCACACCAAAGCACCTGGCCATCCTAGTTCAGAGCTATTTATCTCACTTTTTAACCTAATTTGTGATGAAGCAGGAGGTACTCTTGAAATAAAGATAAGAATGCAGCCATAGTAAATGCAATTTTTGTACACATTCTCGGCCAGAAGAACTGAACATACAGGCCACCAAATATCATGATATCAACATCACACATTGGCATAATCCATGAATTCTTAATAATTAGTAACTACTGCTCAATACAACAAACTCACCTTGAGACAAAGATTGAGAAGGATAAATAAATTGATCATGCAATTCACCAGTAGCCCTATGGTGGTGTATAAACCCATAGCCAACTCCGTGTCATGGCTGGCATTGTCCAACTGAATTAAATTCCAGCCAATTAGTCCATCTGATTTAAGTTTATCCCAAGAGAAGTCTGTGCACAACTGCAGACCTACAAAGCTTAATATCGTAGAAACTGCCGAAATCGCTATCAATCTCAAAGCCATTATTAATAACTTCAGCCTCTTTGCCTACACCAATGTCCTGAATTTTCATCTGACTTTAATTAGCACCGTCCTTTGCCCATCATAAATATGGTTCAAAATCCAATGGAACCAGAGGGCAAAGTCTATGAATCAGCTTAAAACACCACCATCATTCTGTTACCGTTTTTACCATGCCAGGTCTCCAGATAAAATAGGATACCCTGAAAGAGAAAGAATGAACAAGTGATCAGTTAAAATGCACCCAAAAACAAGTCAGAAAGGTTTCATAATAGAAAACCCTGAACCTAGTGAAGGTAATCCCACAACTAATTTCTCAGCAAGGGACTTTGCACAACCAAAAAAGGGTATGTTTTGTAATTTGTAATTGCAACTACCAAATCAATTGCAGCGATCAAAGCACATGTTTAATTCGCATTTTTCCTAGAGAATCATCAATACCCAAAATTGAAAAAACGACCTTACTTCCATTTCCAATTCAATACCCATAGGGGAAAAAAAAGGAAAAAATTTTTTTTGATACAATCCCATTTCTCCCCCACACCAAATCCTCCCACCCATCAATGAAATATCCACTAATCAAGCTCCAAATTGTAGAAAACCCTAGAACCATGGTACTAAGATTATCAAGAAATTGCAACAAACCCAAATCAATCATAAAATTCAAAGGGTAATTGATGGGAAACTTAATTGAAGAACTGATTTTACTGTCTCTGGAAATGAATAAATGCAAAAACAAAATTGGGAAAAAGGAATGAGAATGAAACACGAAAAGAACCTGACTCGATCTAGGAGGAGGGTGAGGAAAGGAGCGTTGGGGTTTCTGCAATTACCATTCGCATCGGAATCAAAACAAAGACGAGAGAGAGAGAAAGAGAGAGAGAATTTAGGTAGAAAAAGAAAGAGATTGAAAAAGGAAAAAAAAAAAAAAGAAAAAAAAAAGTAACTATATATATCAGGTCAATATTTTTACGGGAATTTAATTTAGATTACTTGGTCAAGTTAAAAGGGAAATCATCGCATTAAAATATTGATTCACGTAGATTATTTCTTTGCATAACTTCTTAATTTCAATTCACTTCTTACAACTGTCAAGAAAAAAAAATTCAGCTCTTACTTTCATAAATGCGTAAATAGATAATCTAATAAGTTGACGTTTTGGTTGAGCACTTGCATTATTTAGCCAAGAGTTTTCCTGTCATATATGAAAATGTTTTGGACTAATCACAATTACATTATCAAGAATAAAATTAGTTTATGATCTAATAAACTAGAAATCTAAGAATTATTACATGTGTCGGGACAAAAAAAAATTAAGTAAATAGATATGTATCAAAAATGTAAAATGTTATTATATTATTTTTTAACAACAAACTAATATTTAAGTTAAATTATAAAATGATTAATTATATTTTTTACGGAGCATATTTTTTTTCAAAAATATTAAACTTGTCAAAATTTATCATAATTTGTTCTTTCTCCAAGTAATAGTAGACTAGTAGTAATGCAACGAATATAATTTTCAAAAAATGTAAATATAATAAATATGAATATATAATATTTTAGTTAATTTGTGTTCTGTTATAATTTTTAATCTATAATTTTGATTTAATTTAATGGATGGGTGAGTGATGTTAGAATGCAATAGAAACACAAAATTTAGAAAATGATATAAATGATTTCATGAGAATTAGAATTCATGACTCTCACTATCAAATACTTTATTTGAATCAGTATGTTATCCACTATAATATGTTATCCATTTTGTTTGAATTATGAGATGAAAATTGTATTGTCAAATATCATTAGCACAAACAATTTGATATTTGTAATTAAGGAGTCACTTCCGAAGGTACAATTTTACTCCTATAGGGACTAATTCGATGAAACAGTTATATACATCCTTATTAAACAAAACAAAAAATATGAACAATATGAATAAGATTATATGACACATGGAGCTCGATAAGTCTTTTAGCGTGACCAATGCACATGGAGTTTTATGGACTATATGAATAAGATTTTTCATCCCTACCTTGATAAATTTGTAGTAGTCTTTATAAATGATATCCTAGGGTACTCAAAGTCTAGAAAAGAGCATGTAAAACATCTGAGGTTTGTGTCCAAACCCTTGAGGGCAAACAACTCTATGTTAAATTGTCCAAGTGTGAGTTTTGGTTGGAAAAGGTTAATTTCCTAGGATATGTGATCTTTGAGGGAGGAAGAGTAGTAGATCCAACTAAAGTAGAGGTTATGCTTAAGTAGAAAACATCTAAGCTAGTGTTTCAAATTAGGAGATTTTGGTTTTGCGAGTTACTATAGGCATTTCATTAGAACTTTTCTATATTATTTTTACTTTTAACTAAGTTTACTAGAAAAAACCAATCTTTTGTGTGGGATGTTAAGTGTGAGAAAACTTTACAAGAGCTTTAGAAGAGATTAGCTAGTTCACCTATCTTAGTGTTGTCCGACCTTGGTGGAACCTTTAGAGTATATTGTGATGCCTCTAAGATGGATTTAGAAGGAGTGCTTATGCAAAAAGCAAAGGTAGTAGTTTATACATCTAGGAAATTGAAAATTCATGAAATAAATCACCCTACCCATCATATTCACCTGAAAACTAGACAATCCACGCATGCAATACAAAAATATGCATCTAGACATCATATTCAACTCATGTTTTAGCAAAATATCAACATGCAACAAAAGATCATATACTTCCACAAAAATCATTTCAACATGTTAACAAACCAACAACCTCCACAACATGCAATTCCATCTCAATAATTCAAACAATCATGAATTCCAATGAGTTCCAACCAACACATGCATCATAGATCAACATAAAATATGAGTTCTAGCTTTCCTTACCCCTAGCTCCAAGAAAACGAGCAAAAGACGGGAGAATAAATGATTCCGAGCTTCGAGCTCTAAGAACCACAATACTATGATCCTCAGCTAGGGCTTCAAATTACTACTTCGATACTCAATAATGAACTTCTACGACTCTTAGGGGCTAGAAAGAAGAAGAAGAACTTAGAACTCTAAAGCTCTTCTCACTACTATATCTCTAAAATTCTTTGAGAAATGAGTTTATGAAATTCGAGTCTTAAAAAAAACCTTATAAATTCCTCTCCCTTCAAGGTCAGATTGAATTTTTGCTTAGAGAATCCACAAACTACTTAAAAACTCATTGAAAACCCCTTAATTCTAGAGTTTCTTATCATGAAAACAACAATCAACATAACATATATTTTAATAAATTCATAATAATTACTAAAATGTACAATGTAACAAAATACATGATAGAATTCGATAAATCTCTATCCTATTGTCTTCTTCATCTTTAACTATGTTATGGAAACAACACCTCCATAGGTTAAATCAAAATTATCTTATGGTAAGTTAATATATATTGCATAATGTTTACAACTAATATTATTCATTACTAACATTTCAATTCTACCATATTCGCAAACACAAGTGATCAAGTGATTCAATCTTACTATCATTCCATGCTTACACCTGACTCAAGCATTGAGCATTTGTTGGAGGTTGCTGGCTTTGGCGAGGTTGCAAAAATTAGACATTTTAAAATTGATGATTGTCTAATAGTGTCTTTGGTGGAAAGGTGGATACCTAAGACACATACTTTTCACCTACTAGTTGGTGAGTGCACGACCACTTTGGAAGATGTGGCACTACAATTGAGTTTAAGGATCGACGACAAACCAGTCACAGGACCAACTTTCTTTGACTAGGATGAATTGTGTTACGAGTTGTTAGGCTTCGTACCTCCGAAAGGGGAAGCTCTAGTTGGCTCAACCATAAAACTAAAATGGTTAAGAGACCATACAATTGCACTACCAGATGAACCCGCTGAACAACAATTGCACCAACATTGTAGGGCATATATCTTAGGGTTGATCGGTGGTGTCATTTGTAACACCTCAGTTTTCATACTTTTTATGGAGGGTAGTTTAGTAATTTTCATAAAATTTATTAAGGGTAATTTAGTAGTCCAAAACAGGTCGTTCCGAAATTGGAATGGGCCATTCCAGACTACTAAAAAGACCTATCTTTGATAGCCTAGAACGGGTCGTTCCCAAACTGGAATATGTCGTTCCAAACCACCAAAATGGATTATAACCCTAGTTAGGAACGGGCTGTTCCAAATTTGGGAACGGATCGTTCCAAATATGGTCGTTGTGTGTTAAATCTCAACTCCAGAACGGGCCGTTCAGGTTTAAGAACGGGCCGTTCCAGATGTGTCGTTAACACATGATGAAAGGATCCAGAACGGGCCGTTCTGGATTCGAAACGGGTCGTTCTAG